ATTTAAAAGTTTTTACTTTAAGATAAGAAAGTTTCACTTCACTTTGTTGTAGATGTGTCGATATGATATTACATATAATAATGAAACGATATGTTCTTATAACACTAATAAACAATTCTATTTCTTTCTCGATGTAGTAGATATTAAAAGAAACTTTCAATCAATATTAAAAATTTGCGTATTGAATTTGAGAGAATCAATACGTTGCAAGTCTTAAAAATAACGGCACGTTGATAATTTAATTACTTGAATTTAGATACACAGATTTAGATAGACAGATATATGACATTTAGAACTTAAGAATCTACATCGAGAACAAGCTGTGACTGTTTTAGTTATTTTTATACTTTTCTGTTGTGATCATAAACCTAACAATAAAAAAAATGTTTAACTATGATTTCATAGTTTTTGTCAAAAGTCAAATTTCGATGATATAATTTTACTTCATATTTCTGTTTCTTATAAAAAATACATTTCTGTAAATAAAAAATTTGTTTAGATGAATATTACCAAATTAATAAAATTGTTATTATATGGAAGTTTACTAAATTACGTTATGGCTCTTTATCAACACAAAGAAAATGTATTTGACAAATTTAAAATAAATAACAAGCAAATAAACAGACCAAAAACAACGAGAACTAGAAGATCAGAAGGAATCAAAATCTCTAAGGAAATTACATCCAACGCTACACACTCTTACATACACCAAATGTCTCAAACCGTACGTGTTAGGTTTATCAATCCCCGTTTGCCTGATTTTATAAAACCAAAAAAATACGAAATAGAAATTGAATTAACATTAGAGACAGGAGAGAATATCTTCTATGGAGAATGTTGTATTATGATTATGATTCTTAAGGCTACACAAAATATAAGCCTGCATTCAGCAAATTTGGAAATAATTGAAGTCATATTAACTGGAAAAATTGATAAATATGTAATAGTGGATAAAGCACGTGATATTTCGTATATACACGAACTGCAAATTGTCGTTTTGAATTTCTCTGAAGTTCTACGTCCTGGTAATTATACTTTGAGCATAACGTATAAAGGTGTTATTGCTAATGATGGAGGTTTTGTCAAGGTCTCATATATAAATGCGAAAAGAAAAAAAAGTGAGTAAGAAAACGTAAAATCACATCACAATAAAAATATTATGTAATAATGTCTAAAATGAGTCTACTATTTATATCTATTAAATATTAATAAATATTATATAATAAAAATTAAAAAGAGTCTCTGAACTAGTGAAAATTAATGATTCACAATGGTATAGGCGATCTATAATAAAGTTCTTTAAATATATGAAAAATAATATGTTATAAGTCTGTCAATGTTATAATATTTATAGAGTTTTAGAAAAAGCTTTAGTTTTGTTGCAAAATATATAGTAAGCTAAAGTAAACACTTTGCAAAAAGTTATAAAAATAATAACGTATAAAGTGATATTATTTCTTCCTTAAAGATGTTTTATTAAATAAATTATTTATAAATATTATCCGCGTATATAAAATAGAATTTTTAATACGAACCTTTTAACATTTATTTATAATCTGTATATATATCTATGCATAATAACATAAATATATTGAATTGGAAAAAAGTAATAGAAAAGAAGGTCACATCTTGCACTAATAAAACATAAGAGCTGCAAAAATATTCCTATTAAAATATATTCGCTCTTTCCCCCGTTCCTGTAATAAATTAATTTAAATGTTATTGAAAATAAAAATTGTCTTATTACACAATTATCAAAATTAATT